AACCTCCAAGCTGCTGTTTGAAAAGCTTCTGCCTTGTGGGGTCATCAAGTTTCGGTACATCTGGATCTGCTGGTTTGCTGCCTTAGCGGTAGGAGGTGCCTACATTTCCTGTTCCAACCCAAAACTCAAACTCCCGACTCTCGAGACGTCGTCTGTCCAGGTGTTTAGACTGAGCCACCCCTTTGAGAGGTATGATTCTGAGTACTGCCACCAGTTCATGTTTGAGAGGCTGGAGCATGGAGAAGGGCAGCGTATGCCTGTCACGATAGTCTGGGGCATTCTGCCTGTGGATAATGGGGACCATTTCAATCCAAAAAGCAATGGCACCCTAGTGACAGACGTCACCTTCACAATCCAAAAGCCTGATGCCCAGAAGTGGCTCCTTGAATTCTGCCAAAAAGTGAAGAACAAAACTTTCTATTACCCTGACGCAGAGCAGAAATCTACTGTGTGCTTCATGGAGGAGTTCCTCAGGTGGATGGACAGTCGCCAGTGCTCCCAGCGAGACCACAGCTTCAACCTTTGCTGTAACCAGTTCTCCTTCCCTTACGGAAGTGAAGTCTTCCTACACTGCATCAAAATGATGCTCCTGGAACAAGGCAGGGAAGAGGCAGAAACGTACGATCTGGGCCTCAGGTTTGACGGGGAGGGAAATCTCGCTGCCTTAGTGCTGCAGTTTCAAACTATTTACCACTATAGCTTCAACTACAGCAAAGCCAAACAATTCTACGAGGAAATCAACCTCTGGGTAACAGAGGAAATGAAAACTGCCCCCGTGGGGCTTCAGAATGGATGGTTTACCAGTAAACTAGAGCTATACAACCTCCAGCACAGTCTCAGCACAGAAACGATGGTGGTCATGGGGCTCTCCATAGCCATTTCCTTCGTGGTGCTGCTGCTCACTACCTGGAATGTTCTCCTTAGCGTTTTCTCTGTTACTGCCATCGCAGGCACTGTCCTGGTAACTGTTGGCCTTTTGGTCCTCTTGGAGTGGCAGCTCAACGCAGTGGAGTCTCTCTTCATTTCAGCTGCAGTAGGTCTCTCCGTTGACTTTACCGTCAACTACTGCATCTCCTATCATCTGTGCCCCCACTCCGACCGCCTGAGCCGAGTGGCCTTTTCCCTGAAGCAGATGAGCTGTGCCACGGCCATGGCAGCTTCCGCTCTCTTCTCTGCAGGGGTCATTATGTTGCCTGCGACGGTCCTGGCATATAGGAAGTTGGGGATATTCATCATGATGATCAAGTGTATCAGCTGTGGGTTTGCCAGCTTCTTCTTCCAGTCACTGTGCTGCTTCTTTGGCCCAGAGAAGAACTGTGGGCAGATCCTTTGGCCTTGTGCCCACACCATGAAAGACTATTCTGATGACTCCGGGCTGAACGGAAGCTTTGCCTGTGGGGGGAGCGAGAAGCAAAACCGACTGCGGAAGGTCCAGGAGTCCAACACTGCAAACGAGCAATACGAGCTCCAGCCCTTGTCCAGAAAACTCAGCGACAGTTTTGACAACAGCACTTCCACAAGCAAGCTGTCCAACCGGCCGTCAGTGCTCTCTGAAGACACACAAGTTGAAGACAACAGGTGCCCCAGAATAGGAATGCACCCTTCCCTTGAAAGAGAGAGGCAGAATCTGCAGGAGACCCTTGGAGACCAGCAGGTTGGCCTGTGCCAGTGTCCTGCCTTGCAAACTTCCTCTCCGTACAAGCACAGCAGCTCAGGAGCAGAAATTCACAGGGAGAGACTCTGCCGAGATTGTCGATGTCGAAAGTACGGTCGGAAAGCTTGGGGTGGGTCTGGGCTGGACCATATCCAGCCGGCTGGCATGACAGAAGAAGGGCAGCTCAATAAATCACAGTGCTCTGGTGACACTGCCCAGCAGCAGTTGGATTATACCTCAGACAACAGCTATCTCCCTGCTGCTGACATCTACAAAATTCACAGATGCCTTTGTTCTCTTGGCAGCTCTTTCGACATGCTCAACATCTCCAGTGAGACGTCAATTAGTGATTTTGAGCAAGGCCTAAAGCTTGCTGAATCAGCCAGTTCTTGTCCTGATGTCTTAGAGCTGTCTGATTCGTACAGTCAAACAGAGAGAGGTTACTTGAACGGGAAGAGAGATACCCTGCGGCTGGACCTGAGGGAGACCGTCTTTGATATCTCTCCAGCAGCATCGCAGCAGAACAGCTCTTCATGGAAAAATCGATTTGGATTAGGGAGCGAAGGCCCGGTTGTGCTACCGAACAGCCAACCAGACATGCCTGATGTTTGGATCAAACGATCTGGCGCACAAAGTTCTGGTTACAACAGTTGAAACCTTGCAGAAAACAAAACTGTACTGCCAGGGAAAGGGGAAGTCGAAATCTCCTTGGAACTGTAAATATCAGTTTTTTCCTGCCACCTCTCCTAGAGCTGAGACGATTTCTTAGTATTTCAGCTGTGCAAATACCTGTGTTTTCACAGAACCAGCAAATCTGATACTAGTGAGAGGATGTGAGATCAATCTTGATGGAGTACAAGCCCTTTGACCTTCCAGTGTCTGGTGCCATATCCACAGCTGTACTGCAAAACTTATCGAGTAAACCTGTTTTGTCATTTCCTACAAGGTGAATAGATTTTGTTTTCTTGTCAAGGTCACATAGGAGAGAAATAATGAGGTGATTCTTCCTAGATATTTAACAACAGAGAAAGAGAGCTCATGTAAAAAAAAAAAAAAAAACCCAAACCCAAAACCACAACTATTGAAAATCTAGCTATCAAGTGAAGAGTTTGTCATTTCCTACAAGGTGAATAGATTTTGTTTTCTTGTCAAGGTCACATAGGAGAGAAATAATGAGGTGATTCTTCCTAGATATTTAACAACAGAGAAAGAGAGCTCATGTAAAAAAAAAAAAAAAAATCCAAACCCCAAACCCACAACTATTGAAAATCTAGCTATCACGTGAAGAGTGTATTGTTAATAAAAAAGGAAAGTCTTTCATTTTCTACTGAGTCAGAAATTGCTTTATGTGAAGTCCAGGTTCACAGATCTCATCAAAATAGTTCAGATATTATAAAAAAATCTCATCGAGACTTTTGAGTTGATATAGTCTCTTACAGATCATGGAGGAGGCTGCAGAATCCGGCCCAAATCTGTTTTCAGTAACAATTTCAGTTTATCAGAAGAAATTCTGGTACTGCCAAAGATTTTCAGTGTGAGATTTCCCCTGAGAGATGCGTCCCCGTCCCCGCAGTTACTCGGGTGCTTTGTGTGTCGTCTTCATAGCTTGTTTCCACTCAAGGCATTCCCTACAAACAGGTAACTTTTTAAAATTTGCGTATCATCTGGTGAATCTTGAATTTTACCTTTTTTTTTCTCTACCAGAAACAAACAGGAAAACAAACACTTCCTTGCCTTTATCTGTTGAAAAAGAGGTAACATTCCCTATACAAGTTGACGTAAAATAAATGCTTATAACAAACTTTCCTAAATCTGAGTGATGCTTCATTTTCACCAAGAACGCTGTGGTTCATTTTCTTCATCTTGTGAGTGCCTAATGTATTTTCCAATATAACCAGCAAAAGGAAAGTATACATCTCAAAAAGATTCGCCCCTTCTGACACCCACAAGTAGTTTTCCCTGCTCTGGGGGAGACAGGCCACAACTGCCTGATGTTGATTAGGAATATGCTCTTGTAAAACTGATGACGATGCTTGAAATAGACACCGAATTTCACCTTTGCATTTTCATAATGCAGTTCTCCTACTGGGTGGTCAGGTGGGTATTTTGGCAACCAGAGCTGCCCTCCGGCTGTCAGCAAATGCTGACTGAAACCATCTCCGCACAGGAGCCTTTTTCCACTATTGGGAGGGACTTCTCACCCATTTTGAAAACCGCGTTGGAAAACACTGTGAACAAACATCTAAGAAAGTCGGGAAACATTTTATACAGATGCGTCCTTTCCTCTTACAGTGTGGGAAGGCAATTTTAACGGCCTCAAACGCAAGCGGCAGCACCGGCGCCCTGAGGGCACAGCAGGGAGCACTCCACGGCGCAGAGTCCCCTCCGAAGGCCACGGAGGCCTTGAGAGCTCCGGGCGTCGAGTGCCCAAACCACAGGGGGAGGCGGCGGGAAGCAGGGATGGCCCTCCCCACCGGCGCCCGGCTCCCCTGAAGGCAGCTCCGCGGGGAGACAACGCTACGCCCGCCTGGGTGAACCCGCCATCCCCGCGGCCCCCTCCCTGAGG